GTGGATTTCAGCCCTCAGCCTTCATCCTGGGAAAGGGGGCCAGGAGCCGACGCCTGGCGGTGGGGGGAGAGTGCATCAACAGCAGGGCAGCCCTCGCCTCCTGCCTCGTGCTCAGCGCACGGTGGCCTCTCCTCTCGAGGTCTCAAGTGCAACTACAGAAGGCAGAGCTGACCAGGGTGGGAGCAGGGTCCATAAAGGCACAGGCTGTGCTAAAAACGGGTGCACCCCTGGGAGCTTGAGATGAGGGAATCAGGAAGCTCTCCTCCACCCAGTGGGGAGCAAGCGCATGGCGTGCGTGCTCCCCAGGAATCGAGAATTGAGAGGATAAAAATAGGAAAAGAGCCACTTAGGGATTTGCTAAATTAATGAATAGTAAGCAGATAACAGAGCTTTTAAGGACCCTGTTGCTTTCTCTCCATCAAAAATTCATCTGTTCTTAAAGCCGTGAGTCCCCTCTTTATACTTCAGTCTACTGTAGCTTATTGATTCTCCGAGACATGATTGTCCATATTTGAACATCTCTGAAGCAGGGTTTGCTGTCGAGGGTGGCTTGGTTGATTGGCAGCTGTTTTTTTTTTTTTTTGTTTTTGTAGTTGTAGGTGGACAGATGTCTTTATCTTACTTGTTTATTTTTATATAGTGCCAGGGATCGAACCCAGTGCCTCACACATGCTAGGCAAGTGCTCTGCCACTGAGCTCCGGCCCGGCAGCTGGTTTCTTAGTGGTGATAAGTAGCTGTGCTTTCCGGCAGTGACGGCGGTGACGGTGTTTCAGGTTGGTGGGACCCGCTCCATCGCCAGCCTGTGTCGTCTTTTCCGAGCCCTGGCCTCACACCTTCAGTGGCCCTTTGGGTGCCTTCCTGGTGCTCTAGAGTCAGCAGGTTTAGAGCTGACACCGTCACTGTACTCTTCCCACGAAACGCCAGCTACTTCTCGTCACCACTCTATTTCCAAATGGCCACAGTGCCCCCTGATTGCCTGGTGGTGGTGGCCTGCCTCTCCCAGCCCCTGCAGTCGTGGAACCCCCAGCCATGTTTATCCAGCCTTCCTTCCAGGTAGGCAGCCTCCCCACCCTGCGTCTCTGTTAATTCCTCCGTCCCCACAGCAGCCCTGCCAGGAAGGTACGGTGGGTAGTCCACGTAGATGTGTGGCAGTGTCACCTGCCTGAGATCACGGGCCAAAGACGGGATGTAAGCCCTGGCCCCAGGTCAGGAGTCTGTGAATTTCCCCCCGGTACTGGGGATCGAACCCTGGGACCGTGCACTCTAGGCCAGTGCTCTGCCCCTGCGCCAGATCAGGAGTCTGGATGCCAGCGTGGATCCAGACGGCCACCAGGTCGTTTTTATTTGTCCACTGAGTGATGGCTTTGCATTCCACTGTTTCTCACAGCTCTGCCTTCCTTGTTTCCTTCGGATGCAGCCAGCGCTGCCTCGTGGATCCCATCGCCACGCCCCATCTCTGCCGGCTCCGTCTTCCTGAGCTTCCTCTTTGCTCGTCCACCTCCCCGCTCTAAGACGTTTGTGTGGATACGCAGGTTGAGGATCCTTAATTTGAAGGGCTTGGGACCAGAAGTATTTTGGATATTTTTAAGTTTTGGGAATGTTGGCACGTGTGAGATACCTTGGGGACAGGAGCTGAGTCTAAGTGCGAACGTCCCTTAGTTTCACCTTACACATAGCCAGGAGGTGATTTCATAAGAATGCATACAGCCCACTAGTGCACCTGCATTTTGATTGTGACTCGTCACAAGGTTGGGCATGAACTTTTCCACTAGTCCTGTTGTGTGAGCACTCAAAAATTTCCAGTGTGGAGCATTTCAGATTTTCAGATCTGCACATGGAGGCCTCTGCTTCTCCATTATAAACAAGATGTGTTCCTAGCAAAGCAGTCTCTCTCTGTCTCTCTCTCTCTCTCTCTCTCTCTCTCTCTCTCTCTCTCTCTCACACACACACACACACACACACACACTTCTCTGAGGCAGAACAGTTTTTAGAAATCTGAATTATTTGTGCATATTTAAAAATTAAACAAGGGCTGGGAGCGAGCTCAGGGTTAGAGCACTTGCTTCACATGCACGAGGCCCAGGGTTCAAATCATACTTAAGGATCCAGATTTCTGCATTCTCCTGAATAACTGGAAGATGGGCTTCCCCTGGGTCCACGCTCCTGTGAGGCATCCCTGGCTGCATCCGAGGCGAGATTAACCGCCCCCAGCATACACACCCGGGGACACAGGCCCTGGAGGCCTCATCCGTCCTCTCCACACTGGTACTGGCTGTGGCTTTGGGAACCCTGACCTTTGGCTTGGACCCTCCTTTCCAAGCCCAGCTCAGCCCCTTCCTTCTAGCACCCCCATACACTGTTTCTGAAGCTCAGAGCTCAGGCCTCTTGGCTGCTCACTGAGTTTAATATTCTCTTACACAATCAAGGAGCAGGGAGGTAAAGGGAGGTAAGTAGTAAGAACCGCAGGCTCTGGGGCCAGTTGCCTGGGTTGGAATCTCCTCTTCACCTGTTCAGCAACTGTGTGAGCGTGGGCAGGGAACCCAGCCTCTCTGAACCTCACTTTCTTTATATTTTAGAATGGGGTGGTAGACACTGTAGTTGGGGGGATGATGGCAGGATCTCCATAGACATTGTTATTGGGAGGACTACATTATGAACGTTCATACTTTGTCACTACCGTTGTCACCTTTTCCTTGATGTCTTAACAACGATATTGTAAGGACTTTGAAGACCAGAACCGTGGCCTACAGAGCTCAGCCATGTTTTCTCAGTGGGGATACTTGGCGTTTGGGCTGGTGTAGTTGGGCTGATTGTCCTGCGTACCTCAGGGTCAGGCTGCCTGGCCAGAGCCACACCCTCAAGCTCTGGCTTGAGTGGACATCTTCATAGGCGTCCAGGGTGCCTCCTATACGTGAGTGGGCTGCTGGTTGCATTTCTTTTTTGGCACCGGGGGCTGAACCCAGGAGTGCTTAACCACTGAGCCTATCCTCAGTCCTTTTTATTTTTTATTTTTGAGGGAGGGTCTCCCTAAGTTGCTGAGGTTGGCCTAGAATGTGGGACCCTCCTGTTTCAGCCTCCTGAGTCACTGGGATTACAAGCGAGCACCACTGCGTCCAGCTGCTGTCTGCGTTTCTTGCCCGCAGTGCTGTGCTGGTGCCTCTGCCAAGAGTGGCTTATTGGGCTGAATTCAGGGCAGATTGTTCCACCAGCTACGTCCTGGTCCCAATTGCCATCCAGCTGGCCGGAGAGAACACAGGCCAGGACCTGGTCAGGGCAGGTGCCAAGGACCCAGGGTGGCCATCTGCAGGAATGTGCTGGGCCCTGCAGGTCTGAACTGGGGCCCACACCTTCCTGTCTGAATTAAATGTCAACTAGATGCCAGATCAGAGAGAATGCTTACAAATACAAAATATGTAAAACCATGGTCCAGCGAGCCCTAGCGCATCTCCAGCTGGTTTTCACTTTTGTGTACTTATTTTGAGGTGCAGGGGACGGAACCCAGGGCCTCATGCTTGCTGGGCAAGGGCTCTGCTCTGAGCTGCATGCCCAGCTCCTGCCAGTTGTTTAAGCAGAACCTCTCATCTCTTAAGTAGCTCTGGATTCTATCCCATTCCTCTCCCTTACTTTTCCCAATTTTGGGTGGATTATTTCTTGCTTGTCTTTACCCTTCCTTGTATGTCCGATTCCCTGAGCATGTGCTGCTTGGTTTCATTGGGGCATCATACGCTGTCTGTGTCCGGGTGTGGGTCTTTCTGTCTTTCGTGTGTGTGTGTGTGTGTGTGTGTGTGTTGTGCTGGGGCTAGAACTCAGGGCCTCACACATCTGACTCTGTAGCTGGTACCTGTCCCCGTAGGACCTTTGCAGTGTAAAGAGTGGCACCGTCAGGTGTTCCGTACCTCGCCAGGCCCCGGCATTGCCACTGCCCGGGCCCTGTGCCAGTGTTCTCCGGGGCTACTTCCTGTTGCCCTGTGCACCTGCCAGCTCCATGTCTCAAACGTCTCACTGGAGCTTCTGTTTTCCTCCTGCACCGTTTGTTCCTCACTCCGTCTTCCCATCTGCCTGTTGCCTAAGCCCAGGTTCTAGCACCTATCTTTGGTCCCTTCTTCTTGCTCATGCTTTCCCTGTCTGTCAGCTCCAGCGGGTGCCCCTTCTCCTCCCCTCAAGGCAGCTGAGCAGCCTCTTCCGTGGTCTCCCTGCTTCTCCAACCTTCTCCCCCCAGCAGGCCAGACCCCTCCTCTAACGTGGGCTGGGTCTGGCTTGCTTCGAACACTCCCGTGGTTTTGCCTGGAGCCTGGAACAAAGTCCAGCCTCCTCGCCTCATCCCGCCAGCCTGGGCTCCTCCTCAGCCTCAGCACCCACTGTGTCCATCCTGCTGGCCTTTATCTGCCCCGGAGGCCCAGCTCCTTCCTGCCTCAGGGGGGTGCACTGCAAGGTCCTGCAGCTGATCTGCTGCTCCCTGGACGCCTCCTGTCTCAGAGGGGCTTTCCCTTTCCCTTCTGTCGCAGTCTGTACTTCTGTTTCCTTCCTTTTTCTCCTTCCCACTTTCCCTCCTTCCCACCTCCTTGCAGTTGCCCTGGGTGTGTGTGCACCAGGCCATCGGGTGGCATTTGTCACCCCACTAGGTGGCAGGATGCAGAAGTAAAAGTCAAGTTTGCTGCCGAGATCAGACACTAGGAAGGGGCAGTCAGACCAGGGCCACAGCCCGCTCCTGTGCTGAGCCTCCTGCCAGCCCAGCAGGAGCCGGGCCAGGGCCTGGCACGTGTCTGCACACGCAGTCTGGCACTGGAGCCTCCCCACACAGATTCCTGGAGGGGCTCAGGGACCTGGCGCCTTCTCTTAGGGGATTTCTCGTGGAAGGGTGGTGGCTCCCAGCCTCCCCTTCCCGTCCCTGTTCAGGTTTGCCCTGGCATCCCTCCTTGGCACAGGCCCTCTGGACTGAGAACAGGGATGCCAGGACAGATGTGGGGGGTCCTCTTGACAGAACCTCCCTCCCGCTCAGGTCGCACCAGCTTCTACGAGGAATACGGCGTCATCCGCGACACCCTGCAGAACCACCTGACGGAGATCCTCACGCTCGTGGCCATGGAGCTGCCCCCCAACGTCAGCAGCTCGGAGGCCGTGCTGCGGCACAAGCTCCAGGCCTTCCAGGCCCTGCGGGGCCTGCAGAAGGGCAGCGCCGTCCTGGGCCAGTATCAGACCTACAGCGGGCAGGTGCGCAGAGAGCTGCAGAAGCCAGACAGCTTCCACAGCCTGACACCGACCTTCGCAGGTGGGCTCCAGGGCCTGGGCTGTGGGGCGGCCAGCAGCTGGAGGCGGCTTTCCAAGCCCAGTGCCCTTGGGCTTGAGTGGCAGGGACTCGGGGTGGGACTTTCACAGGAATGCTCAGTGCATGGCAACCGGCCCTGCCCCTCTGACCTTCTACAGTCTAAGGCAGTGGGTCACCAAGGGCACTCTCTGGGCAGAGGATGTGCTAAGGACGTCCTGTTTTCGTGTTGGCCTCTGTTCAGGCCCAGCCCACGGAAGCTTCCAGAGGCTCTGTGAGACTTCTGTGAGGCTCAGACCAGGTGCTGCTCTCATGGAGCTAACGTCTGGCCACCCAAGGGAGGTGCAGACCTGTCAGGTATCGCCAGACACACTTCCTGTGAGTGCACACACTGGCCAGCAGATGCCCACCGGAGCCATTCTCTGGACAGTCCCGGAGGCTCCTCACTTTCCGGGAGAGGGCTGCCTCCTCCGCAGGGAATGCCCACAGGGGAGCTGCAGCTGCTCGTGGAGCCTGTTTGAGGGACTGGGCATCAAACATCACCCCACTTAATCCCCGCGCGCACAGACCCGTGAGGCAGCCGTGGCTGTGGTCCCCACTCCGCAGGTGAGGAAAGGAGCCGCCAGTGAAGCCCCGCAGCCGAGCCAGGCTGGAGCCTGGTGTGGAGGGCTGTCAGCTCTGGGCACCAGCAGGACGTGCCCCACACGGCCCTCCCCGGCCTCCACCTGAGGCCTTGCTCAGGGCATCCTGCAGGCTCCCAAAGGAGGCAGAGGGGGGATGTGCCTTCCCCTGCGGGACGTCCCCTGCCCCCAGGTGTCAGGATCCCTCACCCTGCTGGCCCCATGTGGGACTTCTCAAGTCTCCAGGCTGCAGGTTGCGAGGCCAGTGAGACCAGGGCTCCCGGAGGGGCTCCAGGGAGCGGGTGTCACAGCCACCGAGTCGGCCCCAGGCTGGTTTTGAGCACTGACTGGGAAGAGGAGCGGGGACAGGCAGACGAGGGCAGCACAGAGGTGGGCGGGCGCCTCCGGCTCCTGGGGCTGCGGGGTCACCCTCTGCCATTTCCCCACTGCAGCCGTCCTTGTCCACGTGGACAACCTCCGCTGGGAGGGCGTTCCTTTCATCCTGATGTCCGGCAAGGCCTTGGATGAGAGAGTGGGCTACGTTCGCGTCCTGTTCAAGAACCGGGCGTTTTGTGTCCAGAGCGAGAGGCACTGGGCCTCGGAGCAGAGCCAGTGTCTGCCCCGGCAGATCGTCTTCCACATCGGACACGGCGAGCTGGGCCACCCTGCCATCCTGGTCAGCCGGAACCTGTTCAGGCCGTCGCTGCCCACCCAGACCTGGAGGGAGGTGCAGGACCGGCCCGGGCTCCGCCTGTTCGGTCGCCCCCTGTCGGATTACTACGCCTACAGCCCCGTGGGGGAGCAGGATGCCTACTCCATCCTCCTGTCGCACATCTTCCACCGCCGAAAGGAGTCCTTCATCACCACGGAGAACTTGCTAGCCTCCTGGGTCTTCTGGACCCCCTTGCTGGACAGCCTGGCCCGTGAGGCCCCACGCCTCTACCCCGCGGGGGCCGAGAGTGGCCATTTGTTGGACCTTGAGTTCAGTGGTGGCCAGCTCTTCTTTTCCCAGCAGCAGCCAGAGCAGCTGGTGCCAGGGCCAGGGTCTGCCCCAAGGCCTAGTGACTTCCAGGTTCTCAGAGCGACATACCGAGAGAGCCCGCTCGTCTCCGCCTGGCCTGAGGAGCTGATCTTGAAGCTGGCCGAGGACATCGAGGCCACTGCAGTGCAGGCGGTGCGGCGCTTTGGCAAGTTCCACCTGGCGCTCTCAGGTGGCTCAAGCCCCATAGCCCTGTTCCAGCAGCTGGCCACGGGGCACTTCGGCTTCCCCTGGGCCCACACGCACCTGTGGCTGGCCGACGAGCGCTGCGTCCCACTCTCGGACCCGGAGTCCAACTTCCAGGGCCTGCAAGCTCACCTGCTGCAGCATGTCAGGGTCCCCTACTACAACATCCACCCCATGCCTGTGCACCTGCACCAGCGGCTCTGTGCCGAGGAGGACCAGGGCGCCCAGACCTACGCCAGGGAGATCTCAGCCCTGGTGACCAACAGCAGCTTCGACCTGGTACTGTTGGGCATGGGCACCGATGGGCACACGGCCTCCCTCTTCCCACAGTCACCTGCTGGCCTGGATGGCGAGCAGCTGGTGGTGCTGACCGAGAGCCCCTTCAGGCCACACCAGCGCATGAGCCTCAGCCTGCCCCTCATCAATCGTGCCAAGAAGGTGGCAGTCCTGGTCATGGGCAGGAGGAAGCGTGAGATTGCCATGCTGGTGAGCCGTGTGGGCCACGAGCCCAAGAAGTGGCCCATCTCAGGCGTGCTGCCTAGATCTGGCCAGCTGGTTTGGTACATGGACTTTGAGGCCTTTCTGGGATGATGCGGACATCCTCACCCTTTGCTTGTTCCTGGGCTTTCTCTCACCTGCCGTCTCCCTGCCCCCCAACCTTCCCACCTGTCCAATGTGCCCAGTGTCAGGCCCAAAGGCCCCTTCCCAGCCCCTGTGACCATTGGTCCCACCCGGTTGTGATGGGCAGGTACAGAAACAGGCGAAATGGGATCTCTGCTCTTGAGGTGCCTCAAATCCAGGTCAGGAGAGAAACCTCAAGGAAAGACCCCCAGCAGTTACACGTCAGTATCAACCAGGCAAAGAGAGATGGGAGACGCAGCCAGCAGTCAGAAGAGGGAACGCAGTGGGCGAGGTCCATCAGGGGTGGTTTCCCAGGGAGGCAGTCCTTGAACTGGCTCCTTTGGAGAGGGCCTGGGTTGATAGAGAGAAGGGTACAAAGGCCCCCTGCGTGCTCTGCCCTGTGTCAGGGAGGCTGCAGACGGTCCCAACACCTAGCAGGCCAACCCCTGCCTCCTCTAGCCACCCCCTCATCCAGCCTCTGCACATTCAGCCAAACGTCCAGTCCTCTTCCAGGTGCCTCCACCTGCTCTGTCTCTGGGTGCCTCTGTCCTCTGGGTCCCCAGGCCCTTCCATTTCCCTGCTGCCCCTCTGCCTCTCCCTCTATAGAGATAAGGGTTGGTAACAGGAAAACAGCAATAAGTTCTGGGACCACAAAAGTCCCCAGAAACCCTTAGTACCTGTTAGTGGCTTCTTTTCTCAGCTGAGAACTGCCTTGCCCTGGGGGGTGGGGGTCTGGCTCCCCAGTGCCCTCAGGAAGGACCTGACCCTCTGCCCACTGTCCTCTCTCCAGCACATCCCCCTTCTGGTTCGTCCTGGGTGTGCATGATTCAGCCATTCCAGGGATCCCTGTGGTGACAGGGTCATTCACATCTCAGGGTACCTCGGTGGGGGTTTCCACTCTCAGTGGCTGTTTTGCCAGGGAAGGTCCAGTTACGTCATTCCCTGATGTGGGGAGATGTGACATGAAGGGACTCAGATCAGGCAGCCCTGTGGGGTGGCCGCGTCTCTGCCCCTTTCTGAGGGCTTATTTGGCCAACTGGCTGCAGTAGGGGACAAGCTGATGGCAGCCCTCTTCACACCACCTCTCAGGCCACCTGGCTTGAGCCTGGTGCCCTCCTGTCTCCTGGCCTCTCCCACTGCACTGCCAACGCCTTGCCTAAGACTGGGCCTCAGTGGGTGGCCAGTGTAGGGGTCTCCCTGAAACCCCCAAGGTCAGGGAGGGTGGGTTCTGAAACTGTTTCCAAGAAAGCCAACAACAGAAAGCCAAGTTCCCCGGACACTTGTCCTTTCTGTTTCCACTGCCCACTTAGTCATGCCCCCAAGGCCGGGGAGGGCTTTCAGTGGTGAGGAGCATCAGGAAATCTGTTTCTCTACTTTCAACTGTTTACACTTTTTTCCAGGCTTCAGATTGAAAACAATTCTCAATTTCACTGGAGGTGTGTGTGTGTGTGTGTGTGTGTGTGTGTGTGTGTGTAATAGTTGCCCAAGCCAGAGCTCCCACGTGAAAGGCAACCTTAAAATTCTTACTTGGTCCTCCAGCGACCCAGTCCCGACAGAACATCTCTCTAAGAGCTGCCCCTGGCAGAGCAGCACCTAGGCTGGGGGTGGGGGGCGTTTTATGTAGCACTCAGGGCCCTTGATTGCAGCCGAAGTTCCCCCTCTGGCCATGAGGGGGCGCCAGCACGCCGCCACCAACCTGGCCCTGGCAGCGATCCCCAGCCAGGCCAGCGCCGGTTCTTCAGTTCTTCCCATTTCCTTTCATTTCCCAATCTGCCTCCCTCGGAGCTTGACCGCAGCACGCCCCCATCTGTTCTTTAAGGACTCATTCCTCTGTGGTTGCAAAACCAGAGCGAAAGGGGCCTCCACGTGCCCCAGTATCTCCAGGAGCAAGGGTGAGTGGGCTTTGTGTCACCGTTTCTGAATAAGAGTGAGTCACTGCCAGTCAGGGGCCAGAGTGTCCTGTTCTTACTCAGGAGTGACTTGCCTCAGAACTGCCCTTTATCTGTGGAGAGTGTGCAGGAGTCGTGGGGCACGAACGCCAAAGGCTTCCAGATCAGGAGCCTCCATCAGTCATATAGGAGGGTCATATCGCCAGGGTCTGAGTATCCCTGGCTCCCCCCGCCTTTCCCCTTCACCCGGGGGCAGGCAGCAGAGCGGCCCAGAGCCAGGGCCACCGAGCATGGGCGCCTCAGCCATTTGGACTGTGATCCGCAATATGAATCACGACTCAGTCACATCTGTGTACAAATGTGTGTCTCATGCCAGTTTCACAAACGGATTCTTACCCTCAGGACCTGGGATGCCCTCTGTTTTCTGGTTTTTTCGTTTAAAAAGTGCTGCTTGCAGTCCACGGGCTTGAGTTGACACAGAGCTTGACAAGCCCCCACCTAGTCCAGCTTTCTACCCTCTTAGGAACTCAGGACGCCCAGGCTCAGAGGGAGGTACATGGGCAGTTCCCACAGGTGGGCAGCCTTGCGGCTGGAGCCTTCTGTCCTGCAGCTCCCACCTGGGGCTCCCAGCGATGGAGGACCGGAGGCAGCTGTCTAGCCTGGGCCTTGGGATGTTTGCCCTTGGCCTGGCTCAGGCAGAGGCAATCTGGATGCTGCTCCAACCTGCTGGCACGAGGCTCTGCTGCAGGGTCGCTCCCTTCCTTGGGGAGGGGTGGGAGATGGTGACGAGGCAGTCTGAAGCGGGAACCTGCAGCTTGTCTGGGAGATGCTGTGTGGTCTTCACAGAGGGGCCCTTGCCAAACACTGCGCACAGCACCATCTTGCTCAGTCCTCTGGACAGCTCGACGTGGGTGGTGGCACCCTTGGTTACTGATGGTTTTAAACTGAGCACAGGTTAAGGATGCTGTCTGGTGACCACCGGCCAGCCCACGGCCCCACTCAGAACGGGTCTCTCAATTCCAGACCTTGTTGCCTACACTGGGCAGTGCCTCCTCCTCTCCCGTTGGTGGGGTCAGTTTCTCTGGTCAGGACTAGTGCACAGAGGCCCCTCCTTGAGGGACCTTGTGAGTATCTGCAGAGCAAACATTATTGCCACCGGTGTACAATTGCCTCAGAGACTTGAGGGACCTTCTGGTGGTTGTAGCTGGGTTCCGATTTCCCACCTGGAGGGCAGTGTTTCTGCTAACTACAAGATCAACCGTCTCATCTTGTTGACCCCCTGCTCCTTGCTCCACAGAAATGCTTTGTTCCCACTCTTGGGCCCCCAAATCAGGAGCACAATCAAAGCTTCCTATTGTTTGGACTAATAAATCAGAAGATTTCCTGGAGGGTTTTCATTCCAAAATTTCAGTCCCTGGTCCGAGAATTCCCTTTTGTCTGTCTTGCTTCCCTCCTTTCCCTGTTCTTCAGAGAGCTGGAAGAGAAGGGAAGGGAGAAGCTTCCAGAAAAACTTGCAGGGCTGTTTCCTAGAATTTAGTCTTCGGAAACATTGTTTGGTTCTCCTACAAATATGTGCCACCTCACATAAGCAGCCCTGCAACAGCTTTGCCCAGCCGGGCCGTTATCTTAAGCAGATGGGCCCTGTGTGCCGTTAGCCACTGGTGGGAATGTGCCCGGCAGTGTCTGCGTCAGGAAAGGAACCCGTGGCAAGGAAGGGCATGGGATGGCCTGCTCGGTCACCTCCTGCCTTCCCTGAAAGCAAGGCTGCAGAGAGGCTAAGGGCCTGAATAGGCCGCTGCTTCCAACATCCTGGGCCACATGGCCCATGAGGGGCACTGACCCTGGCCTCGCACACCCCGCTCCCTCCAGCTGTCCCTGCAGCTGTTCAACACCAGCACCCAGACCCTGAGGACACAGGCACTTGGTGATGGCTTTGTGCAGGGGCGGGAGGCAGCCCCTGGGGTAGGAAGGTCTTCCCCAGAGCCTTGGCAGCTGATGAGAACCCAAGAGGTCACCTGAGCCAGCAATGCAGTCTAGACTTCTTGGTGGGCTCTACTCTGCTCTGGGGGCCCTGAGCTTTAAGCTGGAGGCACATCTGTGTCCTCTCGTCCCCCCGCCTGCTCCGACCGTGCACCCACTGAGCCCCTGTTGTCAGCCCAGGGATCAGCCTGCACCGTCCAGCCTCCACTTGGTGGCTCGGGGCCGGTCCGGGCTGGTCACTGGCTTGTGCTGCTTCCTTTGTGCCACACACCTGAGGGTGCCATGTCCTGCGGCCCTTCCCACTCTGGAGCGGAGCTGGCCCTCCCATCGCTTCAGTCTGCCCTGTGAGGAGCGCCTCCCATGAAGGGACCGAGCCCAGAGCAGCATCTGTTCTTGAAGATGCCTCCCGGGAACGTGCACACCCCGGCCCTGGGTACTGTCAGCGCTCCGTGGCGGTGGGTGTGAGGGAGAAGCTCCTGGGTGCTCCGGTCCAGCTGAGCCCACTCCTTGGAGCTGAGGGGCTTGTGCCTCTCAGAGAGTCTGGCAAGACACGGAGCCAGCAGTGCCCTGCATGAGACGTCCCTCCAGCCAACGCTGGGGAGGAATCCGTCTGCAAACGGGTCTGGGGATGTGCCTGTCTGTGTGTGACCAAGGCGGGACGGAGGTTTGGAACACTGGATTCACTAGTTCTGCTTACTCTGATTCCCAGGGATGAGCTTTCGTTAAGCCCTTGCGTTGCTCTCGGGGTGCTCTGAAGGAAATCTCTGCATCTTTCTGTCCCTTGCTATGGGAGGGGCAGAGAGCTGTGGGTTCCGACGGCTGGTGGCTGGCGTGGCAAGTGGAGGTGCGCAGCGCCACAGCCGCGTGTGGCTCTGGTCTTTGCCCCCCAAAATGAAGCTGGTGGGACGGGAGGCGGGGGAGGGGCCCTGGGCCGCAGTTCCCAGAACTCCTCTGCCCTTGTTTTCCCGGGACATGAAGCAGGCAGTCAGCTCCCCCACTCTCTGCCCACTGTGCCCACTGGAAGAACGGGGTGGGAGTGGGCACCAGGGTTGTCCTGCCCTTGCCTGGGGGGAGGGAGGAGCTGCGGCTCCCACTGGAAGCTTGAGTTGGACTCGTGCTGGGGAGCTGGGGCCGTGGACAACCAGCGTGTGTGTGTGTGTGTGTGTGTGTGTGTGTGTGTGTCCGGGGCTGGCTGTGACCTGGACTGTGTCCCTGCTCTCTGCCCCACACCGGGCAACCTGGGATCTGGGCCTCTGTGGGGGGAGAAGAGGGAGGTCCTCTTCTTGGTGGAGGGAGTCAGTGGGTGTGACAGCCACCCACTGCCCAGCAGCAAGAAGGAGCCCGGCTGTCGCTACCCCTGGGTTTTATGGAAACTTAACAACAGCTAACAGGATGAGACACATTCAGAACAAAAGCCTTTTTCGACCTTTCAAAACAGTTTTTTAAATGCCTTTTTCTATGTCAAATGTCACATTTATTTTTTAAACAATAAAGTTGTTTTTGCCAGAACTCATGCTTTAATTCTGTCTTTGGGAAACGGAGCAGAGTGAGGTGGGCCTGGTCACTGTGTTGTGTTCCTGGAGGACAGGGAGGTATTAGAGCCCAGAATTTGCTGCTCATCACGAACAGCAGACAAGACCCAAGTAGACTTTGGTGACATCACAGGGTGGCAACAGGAACTGTGTTTCCTTACAGAAGTGGGGAGCTCCAGGCAGGACCCTTAAGACCACGGTGATGGAAATGAGTGCAAGACACATCCCAAGCCTCCGGGAGGACAGGTCACCCTGTGGCAAAGGCTGGAAGCCGGCAGCTGCAGGGACCGTCCCTCAGACCGGGAAGCACCCAGGAAGGGGAGTGTTCTTCCTGGTGAAAGTAACCCAGAGCCGAGGAAAAGTCAGTGTCCCTTTCCTGCTCCTTGGTGGTGACAGTCATCAGCTCTGCTGTCCTCGCAGAGATGTGGGAAGGTGGGCTCACTACCTCCCACCTGGAGGCTGGGGTCCCATCCTGTGACCCCGAGGCCAGTGAGGAAGGATCACCCGGTGCCTGTCCCCCTTTGGGGAGCTCATATGTGCAATCTGGGGAGTTCTAACAGCTGGGATGTGGCATGTGACCCGAGCCTGGCTGGTCAGGATGCCCTCCCCACCGTGTGGAGAGGGCCCAGGGCCCAACTTGGCCAGATCAGAGTGACCACGCAGACTTAGGCCAAGCCCCCCCAGTTCTCTGAACTCAGACCAACAGGTGTGCAGCCAGGAGCCCGGGCAGCTGACTCAGCACCACAGGAGGCCTGAGGGTGAGGCAGCAGCGGGGACAGCGGAGCCCAGGAGCCAAGGAAAGCACACTCAGGACGTCCCCAGAACCTGTCTCACCTGCAGCCTGCCTGCAGACCGTTCACCTTAAACCAGCTGACATCAGCGGGACCCCGTAATACAAGACCCGGGAGCTCCGGCCAGTCTCTCCGGAAGCCCAGCAGAAACCCTGCACTGACCCGAACGGACGTGATCTGGGCCAATCAGGGCAGCTCTCTGTCCTGGGTCAGAGTCCCTCAGCCCAGGGCGGTAACTGCTTGGTCCCCAGCTGTCCAACCTCAGCTGTTTTCTTATCACCCCGTTTGAACCATTCTCCCGATAAACCACAGTTTGAAAAAAGCAAGAGCAGAGGAAAGGGCAGGAGAGGAGGTTGTCACAACAGAAGCAGGAGCTGCAGGGCTGGGGACGGGGGGAGAGCCCAGGAGCCACCTGGCCCGGCTCTCCAGCATGGGGTCGGCTGGTGCCCAGCTCCTACCAGGGCAGAGGCTGGCTTCTGGGGTGCCTTCCGTCTGCCCCGTTCCTTCCCCCACTCACCCGTCCTCCCAGGCAAGGCTGCAGAGGCCGGGCCTTCCTGACTCCTGTGCTTCAGAGTCTTGGCTTTGTGCGGTTGTGAACATGCGAGTGAGCAGTAGCCACGAGAGCCCTGGTAGGTCCAGGTGTCCTCCGCCATGACCGCTGGACACTCGCTCCAGACACAAAGCCTGTGCCCTCTGCTTCTGAGGGAGATGCTGCCCAGGGGTGTCCCTCAGTAACCCAGGGAGGCCTCCAGCAGCTGCCCTGCCACCAGGAGGGAGGGGAAAGGCACCCAAGAGTGGGGAGAAAGACAGGAGCTGGGGTCTGGGAGCAGGGGGTGCCGGGGGGCCTGCAGGGTGGACGGTGAGGTGGTGGTGCCAGAGCAGAGCTTGGCGTGTGACATCTCCAGAGGGGGAGGATCTCCTGTCCAGAGTGGCCTGGGGTACAAGGAAGGGTGGTGCAACCATTGTGGGCCAGTTTCCCTGTTGGCTCTGGGGACTGGAGGGCCTGACGTTCCCAAGCCTAACCATCTCCTGCCTGCTGTAGTAGATCAGCACCCACTGCCGGGGAACGAAGGGGCCGCTCAGCTCCGCTGGTCCAAAGCCTGTGCCCTCTGGTCACTCCGCTGGTCACTCTGCCCTTTGGGGTGATGTTTACTCCAGCCTCCTCTGCCCACCCCAACCCCTGGCTAACGCCACACTTACCCCCATATTTTATTTGAAGAAGCACTTTTGAAGATAAAAACCATAAAGTAAGTCAGGCTGACAGTCAGGCCCCTCCCCCGCCGCTCCATTAGTCTCATTTTTACTGAAACAAACAAAAACCAGAAGAGCACAAAGAGGGGGTACTAAGCCAAGCAGATTTCCTCACTCACCATTAACCACAAGACACACACACACACACACACACACTCTTGTTGTACCAGGGGTTGAACCCAGGGGCACTTAACCACTGAGCCACACCCCCAGCCCTTTTTACTTTTTATTTAGAGACAGGGTCTCACTAAGTTGCTTAGAACCTTGTTGAATTGCTGAGGCTGGCCTTGAACTCAAAATCCTCTTGCCTCAGCTTCCCGAGTGTCTGAGATTACAGGTGTGCACCACCACACCTGGCTATACCTTCTTTTTTTAAAGAAAAAAAAATCACTAATATTTCTGAAGAACTCATGCGTGCTTCTTGCTATTAATGAATTTGAACAGTGCAGATGAGCACACAGATGGGTGTGAAGGCAACAGTCACAGCAATCCAGTCCCCAGAAATCGGCCAAAGTAGCTTTAGGTGAATGTTCTTTAAGACATAGATTTGAGAAGAAGGGATCAAAAATCCTTTATAAATCTGGGATCCTTCTCTTAATGCTGATTTTAATAGTACATTAATAATTTCGCTTGAAACTGAAGGAATTGCTCAACCGCAAATAAATAGTTTGTCACATAATAAATTCTGTTTCCAAAACCTCTCTTGAACGATAGGAGCATATGGAAGACATCAGGGAGCAGGAGTCTAGTTCGTGTGGTTTTTCACTCCCTGCCTCGGTTTCCATCTTGGGGTTTGTTGACTTTGCCAAGTGTCGACACCGACTCTCCAGCACCTTCCCATCATCTGTCCCCTGCTCTTTTAGGTATATTATTCTTTTTTTGTTTTGTTTTATTTTTTGTGTCAGGGATTGAACCGGGGGCGCTTAGCCACTGAGCCATATCCCCAGCCCTTTTTTATATTTTATTTAGAGACAAGGACTCGCTAAGCTAAGTGGCCAAGGCTGGCTTTGAACTCTCAATCCTCCTACCTCAGCCGCCCAAGCAGTTGGAATGACAGGCGTGCGCCACTGTGTCCAGCGGGTCCATTATTCTTAGTCAGGGTGCTTCATGGTTTCTCCCTTGTTCACCGGTGTTCTGTCCCAGCTGCCTCCCACTTCTCCTGGAGCCCAAACACCAGACACCTCTTCTGCCCTGGAGGACACCTCCCTCTGCATCTCCTTCTCTCCTGCCTGAAGTGCACCCACCCTCTGTGTCCTCCCGCGAGGCTGGGCTCCACCGTGCACGGCAGGAGTCCCCGGGTCCACTGTGCCTGTGCACCACGGCTGACCGCCCAGGCCTGCGCTGCGCAGAGGGGCACAGGGCCCAGAGCCCCTGTGCCGCAGAGCTCCTGCTCCTGGTTCCCCGGAATCCGGCCTTTGCTCCCATGTTTTGGGGTCGTCCACCCGGCTTCCAGGAAGCTGTCCTGGCCCTTGCTGTCTCTGCGCTCACGGTTTTAACCAAAGTCATCTTCCTGGAGGCTCACTGGGCTCCCCGGGCTCCCCTCTGCTCCCCACAGCAGACTCTTGAGTGCCCCTGGCTCCTTCCACCCCAGTGCTCTGTGAGGCACACTCTCTGGAAGGCCACAGCATGGAGGCTGCTGCCATTATAAGGTAAAGCCACCACGGCCACCACAGCCCAGGCAGGAGAACCTGTTTTATTTTCTTATTCATTTGTTATTTGTTTATTTATTTATTTATTTATTTGCAGTGTTAGGGGATGGAAACCAGGACCTCATAACGCTAGGCAAGCACTCTGCCCCTGGGCTACATCCCCATCCTCTTTATTGTCTAATTTTGAAACAGGGTCTCACTAAGTTGCTGAACGTGGCCTGGAATTTGCAGTTTTTCCCCCCTCAGCCTCCAGTGGCTGGGATTTCAGCCATGGCCAAGGCCTTCAGGTCCTCATTTTGCAAGTAAGAAACTAAGGCTTGACAGGTCACTTCACTTGCCCAAGGTCACAGCTACCAAGTGGCAAAGCCACTAGGTCACATCTGGAGCACTTGCTCCGGGGAGAGAAATTGCTGGGCAAACCTGCAGCTCAAGGCTGACCCCAGGCATCTGCGCCTCCCCTGCCTCAGTCGGGTCCCAGACCAGGGCTCCAGCCAAGAGTGGGATCCGCTTTACCCAACTCTGGCTTCTCTCCTCTTCTGGGAAGTGCGTTCCTGCTGGTCTCAGCAGGAAACACCAGTAAGCCAGGAGTGACTGTCACTAAGACGCACAGGCTGCCACCTCCTTTTCCTTTATCCTCTTCAGGCATTTAATGTTGTGGTCCAAAGAGCCAAGGTCGGCCACTCTGCACTCCTACCCAGGAGGAGAAGCAAAGGGTGGGTTTGCTCCCGTTGGAAATCTATATATGTAAAAAGAAGCACCATAAAAAACCTGGTAGGAAGGGAGTGACGGGCAGCCCCCACTCTCCTCCTGGGGCCTCTTACAAGGCAGCAGGCTCTGTCTACAAGCAGTTGAGTGTTCTGTTTCCATATTCTGTCCTATCCTGAGCGTGCTCCATACGGCCTCACGGTCTTCACGCTCACAGTTTCATCCCATGCACGATACCCCAGGGACGGCAAGCATCCTGGGAACTCCCCAGTCCTCCCTGGCTGGCCATTTAGGTGATTCCCAACTCCAACTGCAGACAGTAGGGCTGCTGCGAAGGGTATTTATTGTGCAAGGAAACCTTCGTTCTAAAATGTTGGCAGCGTGAGGTTTCTGGTGGCCTGGCAGGCACAGACTGCGTTGCAAATGGAAAACAAACACCGACATGACCATCATTTTAAACTCAGTAGAAAACAGTGGCCTAGAGAGGAAAGCAAGGGAGGTATCAGAGGGGCCATGTCCCCAGGGATGGATGGAGGCCAGGGAAGCTCTGCCTCAGAAGCAAGAGGAGTGAGCGTGGGGTC